TGTTTGTATACCAATACTGTGTTGTTTTAGCCGTTTGTATACCAATACTGTCATTTTAGCTGTTTGTATACCAATACTGTGTCGTTTTTGCTTTTTGAATACCAATACTGTATTGTTTCAGATGTTTGTATACCAGTACTGTATTGTTTCAGCCATTTGTATACCAATACTGTATTGTTTCAGATGTTTGTATACCAATACTTTGTGTCATTTTAGCTGTTTGTAAACCAATACTTTGTGTTGTTTTAGCTGTTTGTATACCAATACTGTATTGTTTCAGATGTTTGTATACCAGTGCTGTATTGTTTCAGCCGTTTGTATACCAATACTGTGTATCGTTTTAGCTGTTTATATACCAATACTGTATTGTTTCAGCTGTTTGTATACCAATACTGTGTTGTTTTAGCTCTTTGAATACCAATACTGTGTTGTTTTAGCTCTTTGTATACCAATACTGTGTCGTTTTAGCTGTTTGTATACCAATACTGTGTTGTTTTAGCTCTTTGTATACCAATACTGTTGTTTTAGCTCTTTGAATACCAATACTGTTGTTTCAGCTGTTTGTATACCAATACTTTCCATCATTTTAGCTGTTTGTATACAAATACTTTCCATCATTTTAGCCAGCCCTTTCAATACTTAAAGCTTGCCTTTTAAGTCTATTACGTACTTCAGTTTTTCCCAACCTTTGGTCTGACGTCTTGCTACTTTTGTTTTTAAGCAAAACGTTCTGCTTCTTTTAGCTACGACGACCCGGTTTCAGCTTCTTCAGAGAAGTCATTTTGCACTCGCGCTGCGTTTTAGAAGAAAATGCCATTCCTCCAATTTTAAATCAAAGTTAGTTCAAATCTGCCGGGTAAGTTGGACAAACGGTGTTTTCTCTGAAACAAGCGGCGAGTTTTAAACCTGCACGAGACAACTTTCACTCACCTGTCATAATAATCTCTCTGAAAATCATAGTCCAGGTCAAACGATGAGCTGCTGTAAAGAAGAAACAAAAACAATTTTGGTAAAAACATGAAGACATGACAGCACAACTATGTTTTCTGTGTTCCCTTAAGGCTCATCATCATCTGTCCTACCAGTTTCCTTCTGTCACAATTTTCTTTGATGGAACAGAGCCATCATCATCATCATCATCAGATGCTGCAGCACTTGCAGACATGTACCTGTACATGTCTCCAGCGGAGCGTTTGGACGTTTTCGACCTGTGAGGTTTGGGCTCTCCGGCTAGGTTGATGTCTGAAGAAAGAACGATGGCAAATTTTTAAAAGACATGACAAAGATTTTGTTAAATCAGTCACAATCAGAAACATTTATATGTGTTGTAGCTCAAAGTAAGAGTTTTATACACATCATGGAGTTTTTCAGTCTTAACAATTTTCAGTTTCTTTTTTTGCTGAAACGTTTCACCTTCAATCCAGAAGGCTTCATCAGTCAAGGAAACGCACAACACAAAACTGATTCTTCCCCCAAACAGCTTACTCCAAAGTGGAACAAACCAGTTATGTTGGTGCCAAGATGGTGTCTTTGCCACGCCCCCTCCTCTGTTGCCGGCCCTCTTCCTCGTCGACAGTCACGTCAAATGGTTCAAAACCAAAATGTCCATGCTCAATATTGAGCATGGACATTTTGGTTTTGAAAATTGTGCAAATGCAACACAATGCAGACATGTTCCTGTTTTTAGTTTTCTACACAGTTTCTACACCTTGTAATCTAACTGTTTTTGTTACTTTTTTCTTTTTTTGCCATCTTATTTGTAAAAAAAAAAAAAAAATCTGTATGCCTTTTTATAACGGTCTATAGTTGTCGCTGCTGTCATCTTTCTTTGTTGAAATCAGGTCTCTCTTGTAAATGAGTCCTCGAGGCTCAATGGGATTAACCTGTCTAAATTAAGGTTGAATGAAAAAAAAACGTATATGTAGAGATAAGATCTAAGAGATTAACGATGGCAGGAGCGTGCGTGATCGAAGGAAAAAACATGCTGGATGCAGCCATCCTCACCAAACATGTTTTTCTGTTCCACATTACCTACAAGTTAAACGTGTTTCGCTGTCGGGGCCTAAAAAACATTGTTTAAGATTACGTCTGTTACTTGACACTTTCCTTTAAAGATTCATAAATTATTCGCCAAGTTATTATCTCACATCATGGAGACAGAATGTGATGGGGTCCATGTGTTTGTTACATTCTTTTTTATGTTTTACAGACAAAAGCAATGTGAGCGCCCCACTATTATCATAAATCAAGTATTTATACTGAAAGCCAGAGGTTTGGTGCCTAAACGGTGTTAAAGGATTTCTGCAGACACATGAAAGTAAAACAGTGTTAACTTCCAGAAAATTCCTGAGGTCCACATGTCGGTGGCTCTACTTCCTCCGATTACCTAGTGTGAGAATAACCAACGACAAACCCAATTAAGTTGGTTTCGTTTTTTTTTTAAAAAGACAGACATCTTTGTTTTAATTGTGTGAGGCCCAAGTCCAAGCACTGACCGAGCACTTGTCCAACGATCATCCTCCCGTCCTCCCCGGCAACGGCGGACCGAGCGTTCCTCTCGTTGGCGTACTGGACAAAGGCGTAGCCCTTGTGGACAGAGCAGCCAACGATCTTCCCATACTTGGAGAAGATGCTTTCGATGTCCACCTTGGTGACCAGCAGGGTGTTGAGGTTCCCAATGAAGACCCGGGAGTTGAGGGAGCGCGGGTCGGTTTTGTTGGTGACGTTGCTGCTGGCCAGCAGGCTGGAGGCGGAGGACGAACGACTGACAGAAACAAAATACACGTTTGAGATTTTGAAGAGGCATCGATCTCAAATGTTAAAATAAATCTGGACGACAAAACTTTAACGGCACAGAAGGTGAAAGATGTTTTCAGATTTTTTTTCTGGAGTTTTGAAACTCAAAGAAAGTTGCTAAAAGCATCAATTGTTCATGTTTTTAAAAGCAAGTCCCAGCTGAAACTCAAAGAGAGAAACTAAATTTAAATTTTGACAACAAGTAGGACATTTACTAATGCTCAACAGTAATTTGTCCTCCTCCAACTTAAACACTGAAATTTAACTCTTAAAGCTGTTAAAAATGACAACCCTCCCTACAATCACACCCACGTGTTACAGAACCAAAGGAAGCTGGAAATTAAAACCTTGCAGGTCTGAAAAAGTCAAATTTACTTAAGCTTGAACTTAAAATTCATGATTTTTGATTAACTGTAGATCTTATCTAGAAGCACATTTACTCATGGGTGAGAGACTTTGTCAGTTTTATCAGAGGGTGGGAATGCGGGTATTTACAGAGCTCAGACCAATAAAGTGGTTAGAAGGCTTATGTGAAGGAGAAAATGTAAAAAAAAAAAAAGTCTTGTGAATATGACAGCTAGTAACAGTGAGCTCCCCCAGCAGAGGGTGGGTTTGAACATTCACTCACTCCATAGCGTCTGTGTGCAGGGCTGTCGTCTTGTCTGCTGTTTGGGTCTGGATCTTCACCCCTCACGGTTTATACTGAGGCGACAGAAAACACACCTCGAGTCAAGCTGGGCAGGGTTATCTCGTACCAAATCTTACCTGGCGGGAAGGTGTGCAGAAATCAGTGACAAACCCCTCCCAGTGGAGAGAAAAAAGAAGCTGCTTCCTAGTGTCAACACTGACGGTGTTCATGTGCAACATCTGGGCACAAATTCCAGTCGCATATTTTGTGCTTGTAAATCGGAATGTGTGTGTAAAAATATTTGCATTGTATTTACTCTATAAACATGCTGATTTAAGTCCAGATTGAGCCAATTATTGTTGAATGACAGTACACTTTATATGCTGCTGAAATTGACTTGATTCTTTTGAGCAATCAAAAGACCGTGTGCTCTTTTCATTCAGATTTCTATAAGGATCCAAACAATAAAATCAAACTACAGATGGCGTAAACTTTGTTTAAGCTAATGTTAATTATTGCAGTTCTAATAAACAGTTTTGTGGTTTTACTAAGAAGCTTCACTTGCTTGTCTGCTTCTGATGCCCAACTTCTCTTCAAATAAGTTATAAGTGGTAGGGAAAGGTTTAATCATCAACAGTGAAGTAATAAATAAGCATGCTCTACATGAAGCAGTGTTTCTGCTTGTGCAACCTCTCAGTTATGTGTCTGAACGGGGAAATAACATTTTATTAATAAAAAATGACCTATCTGGATTCTTTCCCCATCATTTCACTGTTGTGGTTGTTTTATTTTTGGGCTGAGTAGTGAATGCGCAATAAGGCCATTCAAACTTGAGTGTTTGTGTACTTTGTGTACCAATATTTCTAGGTGAAGATATCAGATGGTTTGTGGGTCTTGTAGCTCTTTACAGCTGTGTAAATCTAACGTGTCCCAGTAATTAGGACTTTCATTTTCAGGGTTTAGGGGTAAACCTTCAGCCTGCATGAATAAATAGTAAGTTGAGTCTAATGTATTATGGGGGGTGTGGGACACGTTCAAAAACAGTGTTTTATGTGCATTTGTGGTGTCATAAAAAACAAAGCCGCTGTCAGTGCAGAGCAAACAAAATGGGAAAAATAGTATCATGCTTGAAAAACAGAGTAAAAACAGGCTTCATTAAAAATGTAAATAAAAATCAGCTGACCGAAGAGTACGAACAAGAAAGAGAAAGTCTGTGATTTAAAAAAAACGTCAAATAAAAAATTACCTAAACCATCCTTAAAACACCAACAGCGCCACCAGCAGGCCTAACGTGAAACAGCAGGCCCTGCGCTAGCCTCGGCGGCTAAAAACCGGCTAGCATGGCTACAGTTAGCCAACCACCAAATCAAAATTATCTTTAAAAATGCTCAGCAATATGACCAGTTCTTGTGCTTACAAAAAAGTGACAAAACGCAGGAAATTCAGACAAAAATTCACTCGACAGTCTTTAATCACGGATCAGGACGATGCTGCAGCTGAGTGCTAATGCTAACGTTTGCTATCGGTCCGTCTGAAAAGCCAAAAACAAATTAGTCCAGTCAAGGAAAAAAAATCTTCATATTAAATACTAGAAAAACACAACTAAATAAAAAAACAGGTGTAGCTACGATGTTCCCAAAGTGTCGTGTCTAAAAAAGAAAAAATTTAAAAGATCACAAGCAGCCATTGTGTCGAGGGGGGAGACGAGCTAAGCCAGCTACTCCGCTAGCTTAGCTAGCACATTATGTCCTGTCCGCTCTCAAAATAGAAAATCATCGTAGAAAAATTTCCAAAAAGAAAAGAAAAAGGGAAAAATGAAAAATGTCTGGGGGACAAAATACTCACCACGACCTTTACGAGCAAAATGCCTTGCTTTTCGGTAAAATTTGTCAAATCGCAATTTTAGGTCGTCCTTTTGGTGCGCATACAGCGTACACCTTCAGAACAGAAGAGCTAGCTTTCTTCTAGCTAACAAGCTAACGCAACAGGCGCTGCAGTGGTGGGCAGTGTTCGTTTTATATTTTGGAGTAGTCTAGGAGGGGCGGAATCTAAACCAAGAAAACGCGAAATACGGAGAATACTGCGACCATCGGTGTGACCAGGTATAAAACAAACTCAACCGTTGTTTTTGGACTCCATTTTGCCTTAAAAAAAACACTAGCGATGTCTGGGTTGATTTGTTTTTATTTATTCATTTAGTCGTTCGTTTAATGTTTCTGCCTTCTGTTTAACGCATCACAATAAATGGTTTAGTAGTTGTTTGCCTGAGTCATCTATTTTCTATGAAATATTTATGAAAAGAGATGTAGAAAATATCTCTTATTCAAATAAAGCCAATTTTTACCAGAGGAAATTAAATATGCATTTTTTAAAATATGTTGTGTAAATTTAAAAATAAAAAAAATCATTGTACTTTTATGGGTAATTTATGTATTACAAGATAAGATTTAGCTTTTCATTTTTATTTTATTTATTTCTTTTACCCTTTATTTATACAGGTAGTCTCATGGAGTCATGAGAACTCATTTTCAAGAGAGACGTGTTTAGAGAGCAGATGGTGGAGGTTAAGAGCCTTGCTCAGGGGCCCAGAGTGGGGCAAATGAAGGTGGAGGCAGGTGTAGGTGTTCCACCTTTCCCACTCACATTTTGATGTTGACGGTACCGGGAGTTGAACCAGCGACTTTCCGATCACAGGCCCATCTTCTAACCTCTTCACCACCACTCCCCACACAAATAAACCACAAAAGCTTAAGAAAGATAAACAAACACCGTAATATTTCCATGCGTATTAACAATATCTGCTGTGGTCTTTTGAAATATTGCATTGCGTGATTATATATTGGCAGCAATTTTTAATTCGATACAACAAAGATAAGTTCAAGTTGTGTTTATTTGTCATATGCAAGGTTAGCACAAGGTTACAGGTACGATGAAATGCTTAGGATGAGAACAACCGATTTGACTCGCTAAAGAAAAGTCAAAGAACAAACAAACAAGAAATAAGAAAGCATGCAATAAGGGTACAAAAATAAAGTATTAAAAAGTGAAAAGTAATTATAATATTTACAAAGTCCTAAAGAGAGATAGTAAACAACAACATGGTCAGGCCCTCACCAGAGGTGCCCAAAGTGGGGCCCGTGGGCCAAAGTTGGCCCGCCAAGCAGTCCTCGTTACTACATTAAAATTTCCTTTGAAGAATCAATATGTTTCCACTCAGTCAATCCACCCATTGTTAGATGGAAAAGTCAGCCCAGTGACTACCATATATATGGGACTGTTTATTTATGTTCCTATTAGTGTTGCTATTAAGTTGTGTTGCTGTTGGACATTTTTTGATATTTTGCACTACATACTGAAATGCCAAAATTTCAATATTTGTTTTAATTTTTTTAATTACTTATTTGTTATATTTTGTGTTCTGTAATGTTCTTTAAACAGAATGGAAGATTAAATAACTGTATATTAAATAAATGGACTTTATTTAAAGAAGTATTTGCACTTCATGTATTATATTATTGCATTTGGCCTGCAGCCCTCTGATAGATTTTAAATTTGGCCGTTTAAGAGAAAAAAGTTTGGGCACTCCTGCTCTAGACGGTTTCTTGTTGTTGAAACGTTTCATCTTTCATCCAAAAGACTTCATCAGTCCGAGGAGCCACAACAAACTTAGCACCTTCACATAGTGGGTCAACCAGTTCGATGGTGCTAAGATGGTTTCTGGAGTCACATTTTTAGAGGGCGTCCATCTCAGACGAATGAAAGACAAAACGTTCCAACAAAAAAAAACGTCCAGACGACCTGTTTTAACTGTGGGATTTTTCTATCTGGATTATTGAGCATGAACCGTGATATTCAATTTAATACATTTTTTTCTTCAGTTGTACACTTTATCCTCTGTGTTTTGCACACGTTTAAACATTTTATAATAATAAATCTAAAATACCTTTAGTTGCTATCATGTCAAATGTCAAAATGTCTAAATTTTAAGCAAAAGAAAATGTAAAAACATCAAGTATGGACTTATTCATTACGTTTTAAAAATTACAAAAACTGACAGACCCAGATATCTGCATGAAAACAATGACATAATACATTAAAAGTGTTATAGTGTGTTTCTGTTTAACAAATATTATTATAAAAGAAAGGAGATTCAAGTTCATTTCAACAAAGAAAAACGTGAAGAATCTGCAGATCTAGAGCTCAGTCGTTTATTACTGCACTCAACCAGCAAGTGTCAGCGTTGGTACAAAAACACATTACACAAGCTAAGATTTATGAAGAACTGTAGAATCTGTCAGAGGTGGTGAGATTTGACCTGAAAGGTTTAAAAACTGAGTTACCAATAAACACTTTGATTAAAGAAAGGTGCATCAGGAATATAGTTACACCATCACAGACTTTGTGTACTCAACAGTTTAAGCTTGTGACTCGTGACGGGTCATAATGAAAACGGGCTGCAGCGCTTCTGTTTTTAATAGTAATTAAGATAAAAAGAGTCCATAAAGACAGTAACTTAAACAGCATTTATTCCTCCTAATTTACCTTTCAAGTGAACTTTTCTAACAGGTATGACTTTCGAGGACTTTGTCACAAAACACCTCAGTCTAAATGCCTTCTGACCGCCTCAGTGTGCAGGCTTGACTGGACTGAGGTGGTGGTGGTGGAGGTGGTGGGGTCAAAGCCAGCCCACCCCATTTGCGCCACGAAGTGAGGGTGTAACCGAACCAATTCGGTCCTCATGTGAAACTGCAAGCCAATGCTGCTGACCAATAATATGAAGAAGTGATGACTTGCAGTGCCAGCCCAAGCCTCCATGGGGCCCTAAGTGAAATTTGGTTTGGGGACCTCTATTTCTGCTAATAATGTGGATTACTGCAATCAACAGTCAGATGATCAGATCATTCACTCACCTAACATAAACTCATTGCAACTCTGACAGCCCTGTTTACATGATCCTATATGCATACATATATCTTCTAGTACTAAAAGTAAAAAAAAATCAGTATGCTATGTATTTTACAGCAAAAGTGTCATCTGGTTTATTAAGTTTGGTTCCAAAGAACTGCAACAGTAATGTGCAAAATAATTTGTAACGCAAGATCAACAACAGACAACAGATAAAATAACTTAGATGCATAAAAGTAAATTGTGCAAAAACAGACAAAATTAAATTAAAAAATATATAAAATATCAAGGAAATACTTAAATAATGTAAATTAACAATTACTTAAAAACCGTGTAAAATGGTTAAAAAAAAGACATTTAAAGTTGAACAATTAGTTCTTAAAACTGTGTAAATGTATGCAACAATTTGCAAAAGATAAACTTAAAATATTAAATAGAATCACATAGAAATCATTCAAAAAAAAAAAAAAAATTCAAATCCACTTAGGGGACCTCCTAGTGGCCCCCGGGCCCTAAGCAGACGCTCAGTTTGCTTATGCCTTGGGCCGGCCCTGACTTACGGTCTGTGCGACCAGCTGAGCGCAGGAATAAACAAGTCAAACAGATTTATTACCAAAGCAGCACGGTGGCGCAGTAGGTAGAGCTGCTGCCTGTCAACGAGAAGGTTACTCTGGTTCAAAACCCGGTCCAGGGGCCTTTGTGTGTGGAGTTTGTATGTTCTCTCCGTGCATGCGTGGATTTTCTGCGGGTACTCCGGTTTCCTCCCACAGACCTAAAACATGTATGTTAGACTGATTGGTAACTCTAAATTGTCTCTAGGTGTGAGTGAGAGAGTGAATGAATGGTTGTTTGTCTCTATGTGTCCCTGTGATGGACTGGAGACCTGTCCAGGGTGTCCCCCACCTCTCACACAGTGACGGCTAGACCAGTGACCTCCCCGACCCGCAAAGGAAGAAGCTGGTAAAAGAAAATGGATGTATGGATGGATGTAAGGAAGGAAGGATGGGAGTCATCTGTCACACATTTAATGTGTTGCACTGGTCCACTCCATCGGTGGATATTGGATGACCAGAAGCAGCATAAAGACAGACTGTGCAGCCATTTGTCTGAACTATGTTATGAACAAGTCCAGAAATATTCCTTTGTCTTATAACCCTTTGAATTTTATTTGGAAATTACCATTTACCTCTATGACATTCAATACAAGTTTTTTTCTTCTAAGATTCATTATATTTGGCTTGTTTTATATTAAACATTAGTAAAAAATATATAGTTCAGATCATATGTATTACCCTACTGACAGAAGTTTATTTTACTTTAATCAACATAAAATAACTAAACCTTTGTCCCATGTAAAGTGTATTTTTCAACATTTGGTCTCTTTTGCAACCTCTGGAATCCACCACATGCAAAGACATCGAAACTAATTTTCGTAATTGTCATGAAATATAGCACATTTTCTGTCAAAAGTCTTCTACTGCCCCATAAATTAAAACAAAAAAAATACATAAAAAGCTTTCCAAAATTTCAACATCGTACAATTTATTATTTAGCCTTTGCTCTATTTACTAAAATAAAATTAGATCTCTTTAGTATTTAGTATTTCATTGTTTCTCATTATATTTCATGTTTTTATGCTTTTATTCATGTTGCTGTAATATCTTGTAATTAATATTTGATCCTGTGGTCTTTTTTGGTAAGCACTTTGAAAACAGTTACGGTTTTAAATGTGCTATATAAATAAATGTGACTTGACTCTTTATCGGGGATTAAAGATTTTTGTGACCTTTTGCTTAAATTCTCATTTTGCCACTTTAGGGAGATTTTTTTTTTTTCCTGCATACAAAAGAGACACATCGCAGCTGTTTTCTGCTCCTGGTTAGCAGTAAAACCCCCTATGTCACAATTTTTCTTGGAGAATATGTTCTTTTGTGAATTGTTTTAGCCCATCTGGTTTTGTTTGGCGCAGCTTCCCCGAGGACTTGTTTACAACTCTGAGCATCATCTCCAGACTCAGAACTGCAGTTTTAACGTGCAGTCGTGCACACAGATCAAATGTTTCTGCGTTCGCCTCTTCTGAACAGTCTGTCCTCCAATGTTTTAATTTAAAAAAAAAAAATCTAAAAGCAACAGCGAGGGCACCCTTTACCTTCTCCTTGTTGGAGCTGGCAGTGATAAGACGGTAAAAGTGTGTTATTAAACTTCATCTCGTTAGAAATTACACAGAGCTGATGATGACAGAGATCTCACTGGAAACTGTGCAGACCAGAAACCAGAGTTTGGTCAATGTGAGGTCACTTCTGAGCACCTCAAACATACTGGGCCTAAATTAGAGGAAAACCACTGGAAATAAAAATACCGTAAAGTAAAGAGGAGCCATGTGAACTCGTAAGCCATTTGAATCATCAGTTATTATATAGGAATAGTGGTCAAACGTGCAGGAAAAAACAGCAATAAATCATCGTATGAGCAGTAGTTTGGCGTATACGGCCGACTAAAGTAAACTGATCTTTATACTTTAGGGGTCGTATCCTAATGAGCTGGGACAGTTGGGGACAGAAAATTGTGAGAAAACACCAACTTTCACTCGGCATCACAAAATCCCTGTGAAATATGGCAGGAGTTCATGAACATTCTTCTTCTTTCGGCTGCTCCCTTTTCCAGGGGTCACCACAGAGAGTGAACTCTGATTTGGGGATTGTTTTTATGCCAGATGTCCTTCCTGACGCAATCACAGAGAGTCACCTGAGGAGCAGCCGGGGTGTGGGGGTTAAGGGCCAACAGTGAGGCAAATGAAGGTGGAGGCAGGGGTGGGTGCTTCAACATTCCCACCGAGTATTCAAACTGACGACCACCCGATCAAAAGCTCACCTTCACCAGGAAACTCCGTCACGAAACATGTCTGAACCTGCCAAGTCTGCGCCCAAGAAGGACTCCAAGAAAGCGGTGACCAAGACCGCCGGCAAAGGTGGAAAGAAGAGAAGAAAGACCAGGAAGGAGAGGTGTGCCATCTACAAGGCGCTGAAGCAGGTCCATCCTGACACCAGTGTCTCCTCCAAGGCCATGAGCATCATGAACTTCTTTGTGAACGACATCTTCAAGCGCATCGCTTCAGAGGCATCTCGCCTGGATCACTACAATAAGCTCTGCACCGTCACCTCCAGGGAGATCCAGGCCTCCATGCGCCTCCTGCTGCCTGGGGAGCTGACCAAGCACGCTGTGTCTGAGGGTACCAAGGCTGTCACCAAGTACACCTCCACCCAGCGAGGTCTCGGGTCAGGATCTGACCTTATGACCCACCTTGCTGCCCGGCCTGCAAAGATATTACGAAGTTCTACGAACGTTTCAAGGCATTTTGGAGACTCCGTCGTGAATGGCGTTCACATTTTGCTCCCAACCATCACAGTCAGACAACATATTAGCTCGAAACACCGAGTTGGTGAGGGTGGTGCAGATTTAAGGTATTCAGCTACAAGAAACGATTTGGAGGTGTTCTACAGATGTTAGCTGTGACTTTGAGCAAATATTTTTTTTTATATGGAAATTGTACTTGAAGTTTTCTCAACCTTTGTTTTTGAATGTAATGACTGGGCTGTGACTGCTGGTAACTAGTTGAAAAGGCACAATTACAAGAAAACCGGCAGTTTTTTCTTTGGGAGTCACAATGAATTGGGTTTTTTGGCTGAAATTTTATAGGACAAAAAACGTTTCTGTTTCAAATGCAATCAAATGTTTTGTTGCAATTTGGTCTCAAACTGAAAAGTTGCTAACTCAAACTCTCTGTTGCAACAAAGTCTTGATAAAGTCTAATTTTATTTCCAATCTTGTCCCGACACCCAGAATGGACCTATAGGGATCAGTGGTGGGCATAGTTTCGGTAATTGGCTAACAGCTAAATAACAAATTTTTAATTAGTAGATTAGCATTTTTGCTAATTTTAGAAGCAGAATTATCCATCCATCCATTATATTTTACCCGCTTCTTCCATTTTGGGTACACCCCTGACGGGTCTCCAGTCCATCACAAGGACACAAAGAGACAAACGAGACAAACAACCATTCACTCTCTCACTCACACCTAGGGACAATTTAGAGCTACCAATCAGCCTAACATGCATGTTTTTGATCTGTGGGAGGAAACCGGAGTACCCGGAGAAAACCCACGCATGTACGGAGAGAACATGCAAACTCCACCCAGAAAGGCACCCTGGACCGGGATTTGAACCAGGGACATGCTTGCTGAGAGGCAGCAGCTCTACCAGTTGTGCCACCGTGCTGCCCGGAAGCAGAATTAACGTCTGCTAAATTAGGTATCACCAAATTTAAGTCACTAACAAAATTGGTAAGCTTGTTCCGGTCTCTTGTGGCCATACCTTGAAGAGTCCAAACTGGACAAGGACCTGTGACGCAGACTGAGTGACAGTCATCTTAGCGATTAGCGGTTAGGCATTCATTTACCTGTTTAGCAGTTTAGCGTTAGCAAAGCTAATTTTGTAGTTTGTGGAATATGGGTTAGCAAAACTAACTTTTTAATTATCCGTGTCCACCACTGTAAGCAATACCAATACACAAGTTTAAATTAGTTAAAAAAACACAACAGTCATAACAGATAGACTGGTTCACAAAATGTTTTTGGCTTAAAAACAAACAAACAAACAAAACAAAAAACCTTCAGAATTAGTTTTTCATAAAACACTAATTAAAGATTAGGTTAAATAAATGCCCAGCATTTTTTGAAGGAATGCATTTTGACACATGTTTCAGTCAAACCTTGAAAATTTAACCTCATTTGAAGTACCTTCTCCATCATTTGCGTCTCATGAAAAGGTTAATGTCACCAAAACTCATGTGCTGTCAGTGTTGCCAGGTGAGAAATGTAGGAATATCGTACACCTGGCAACACTGTGCTGTTATTAGTACTTTGGCGCCACCTACTGGTAGTTCAGCACAGTTGCACGCGAAGGGTCCTTCAGGCGCGCGCCTCCCGCTCCTCCAGAAAAGCATAATGGAAGTTGGAGGCGGAGGCAGGTAAATGAGATCATTCTGCACTCAGCATCGGTTTTATGCTAAATTAACTTACCTATAAAACCTGTCACAGGTGTATAAGCACTGTTAGTGCATTTTGTGAAGGTTTGCCGTGTTTGTGTCGAAATAACGACTTCATGAATAAAATTGCACCGTTAGCGTGCTAAGCTAACAGAAGCTAACCACTGCTAGTGGTTTTTTTTCTGTTGGTAATAGTTTCTTTATCTTTTTGCCCTGAACAGATCCGTGCATGCAGCTGTCACACACCGAGTGAATATTGTGTGCTGTTTGAAATACCAGGTAGGCTCAATTTTTTTATGAATATATCAAATAAAATGTATTTTAAACATGTTTTACTGTTATAACTGCCCGTTCAGTTACTGTTAATCTACTGTTTTCATACTGCTAACTGTATTTTGAAGGTTTATGGGAAAAAAAAACTTGTTTTGCTCTGGAATGTAAAATTGTTGCATGAATATATTGAGGGGGGAAAAAAACTATACAATCACATATAAACAAAAGAAAAGAAAAACAATAATGGAAGCTGGTGGAGATCCATGCATGCAACTGTCACACACACACATTGATGGAATGTTGTGTGCTGATTATTCATTCAACCTTTATTTAGACAGGTTAATCCCATTGAGCCTCAATTTACAAGAGAGACCTGATTTTAAGAAAGAGTGATGACAACAGTGGACAACAAAGACAACAATAGACAATCATAAAAGAAAGCAAACAAATTCAGAAGAACAAGTGAAAGAAAATAGTATTTAAAAAAACAAAACAAAAATAGCTAGGTTGTAAGGTGATGTAGAAAACTAAATATAGGAACATGTCTGCACTGGTTTTTGCCAGCAGATGTTTGAAGCCACGTAGGTCAAGGTCAAGAGCTCCAAATTTTTTTGCAAGATATTCCAGGAAACAGGAGCGGAGTAGGAGAAGACCCTTTTGCCTACTTCAGTCCGCACTGAGGGGACACTGCATGTAATGATGTCCTGAGAGCGCACGCTGTAGCTGCACTCACGCAGAGACACGTAGGAGGAGATGTATGAAGGCAGCAGACCAAGAAGTGATTTAAAAATGAAAATGTACCAGTGAGAGAGTCTGCGTGAAGTTAATGATGTCCAGTTAACCAGTGAATACAGGGTGCAGTGGTGGGTACGATAGTTACAGCCAGTTATGAATCTTAATGTACCGTGATAGCATCCAGCATTTGCAGAGTGCTTGTAGCAGTGTTCATGTAAATAATGTCACCATAGTTAACGGAGGGAAGGAAAGTAGCAGTTACAAGGTGTTTCCTAGCATTCAGAGTTAGACAGGATCTATTTCTGAAAAAGAAACCCAATTTAACTTTCAGTTTCTTTACCAAGTTTTCCATGTGGAAAAGAGAGATGCGAATCGACAAAGATACCCAAATATAAGATTATTATACTATTATACGATTATTATACTAGATCCCTGCAGTAAAGAACACTGAAGAGCAGTCCTATGTTCGTGACCTGGTTTTATCCACACTGGGGTATACTGTTGAAGAGAAACAACGCTTCAGGTTACACAGGTGGTGCTCCCACACGTTTAAATTAAATCCACAGTGCTTGGAGAAACTCCCGGTACATTCGCTTGTACTGTTTGCACATAAACTTATGGCATGACACCAGTTCTGGTCCGTGCCAGAAGTTGCGCCCATAATTCATGCAAGGCAGCATGGAGGCTAGGAATAAGGTGGTTATCTTCAAATGCTTAATTTTAGTAGACAAGAAGTAGACAGTTGTAGACATTTGTTTTTAAATTAATGTTTTATTAAAACTTGAAAACTTGTCCAGTGGTTCGTGCGATTTTGTGTGTGTGTGTGTGTGGGGGGGGGTATGCGTGAGAGAAGTGGAGCACTACGTCTGTAGCTTTTTAGCTAACACATCTGTATTGCACGCCACCAGCTTAGTCTACATTAGTACTGGCATTTGTTGACGGGGGGTTGGGGGTGAAGTTTATTATGGTTGGTGGAGCGTTCTGTTGACAGGGCAGGGCACCCTCCTTGGATAACAGTAAGGGAAACATGGATTAAGCTCAGCTACTACCACACCATATTTTAGTTCAATATCTCTGAAACTGGCAGTTACAGCCATATTTGCTGTTGCTAAAGTTGCTTAGCTGTGGCGGCCATCTTGAATAAGGCTGACTCCAAAAGTCAATGAGTGGCAGAGGTTCATCCAATGAACAGTTTCTAGGATGTTTCATTAAATCCCCTCCCCATTTGTTGGTGAGATATTTTACTAACAGACATACAAACAAACATGTGCAAAAAACATCACCCTTTTTGCTTTCAGGCAGTGGACAATAAAGATACTACCACAGACTGTTTACTATGTGGATACTACAAAGCTGGTTGGCTCCTGAAGGGGGTGAGGGGGTGGGCTCGTGCGTGTGAGTGCGCTGCAGTGACAGTGGGGAAGTGCAGTCCGTATGCAGCCAGAGCAAGGAAGAGTCCTCCCATCAAACTGAATGGCTGGAAGTAATGAGGTAAGAACTGCACTCTTTATGTACTTTTACTGCAGTTTTTATGTATTTCCAGTCAGAAATAGTATTATCAAACAGCTAAAGACAGTACCATTTATACTCCTTGTTATTTTAAACATCTCAAAACTTGTTTATAGTGATAGTACATGTTTTTTTGTGACAAAAATAAGTATTTGTGTGAATAAAGAAGGAATGTTTTGTTGAGGAAAAAGTGACAAAAGAGGATCAAAACCTTACCCGAACAGAAGAAAATAGTTCCACATTGTAGTTAAGAAATACTATTTTCAGGTCCATATGATGACTTACACAATAACTTGTTTTGATTGTGCAACAAAGATTTGAGGAATTAATAACACAGAGTGGCTGCTACACTTTGTGGTGAGCTCATGCCCAAATGGTTGCTCTGTGATATTTTTCCTCTCTTATTACTTAAGGGACTCTTCCTTTCCACTTCTCTGCAGTCCACTGATTTATGTCATGTAGCTGGAATGAAAAGTGCTGCGCAGGGGGTGGAAATCTGGCCCACTGAAAGTCCAACAGATGAGGAGGATTGTTTTAATCATTAGTCTCATGATGTCCCTGGCATGGAGCTTGTGCAGAGGGATTTTGGTCATATTTCTAAGGCATGGGGCATGTGGAGCAAGGGTAAAATCACTGATTTTATTACCTATTTTGTGTTATCTTATAAATATGGCTATGAAATTGGTAATAAACCAGATTTACACTGTTTTGAAAACCCCTCAACATCACCCTAATGTGCCTTTTGGGAAGCTGATCAGATTGTTTATCGATATCAGTGACTCATCAATTCTTTCAGCAGATGCTCAAACTGTTTGCTTAAGTTGGAGTGTGGCACAAGTGGGAAACAGCAGCAAGCCAAGATCTGTGTTGACCTGAAATGTTAGTTTGGATTGGCAGAGGTTCCTGCTTGCTCGTATCTTGGCGGAACAGTGCAACAAAAGGCATTTTGGTTTGAGTGGATTGTTTTTTTCTAATGCAGGTTTTTTGAAATATAAACCGTGGATTCAGTGTCATTGGGTTGCGACATTTCTGGTTGATGTTTGTCAGAACATCGTGAAGCTTAGATTTGTGTAGAACTGTAGAATGAACCTTTTTACGGATACTAATGCTCAAAGTCAGTACTTCGCGATGCATTGTGGTCTAGATATATTTAGGCCTACTTTGACATCTAATCAATTTTAATTTGTTGTTTTATGTATATTATGGCCTCCTCATCTGATGAAATATTATTTTTGAAGTTATGTTTACGTTTGATGTTTCATCTTTGCATTTACTTTTTTCACTGGTTGGTTTTCTACCAATATATTGTACCAGAACTACCAGAAGTAGCTGTGGATTTATTTGTGAACATGGTGCCTGACTTTACACATTCATACTGGTCATTTGGTCAGAGGTGGTGATATTTGACCTGTTCGTTTCCCCAATAGATACTGTAATAAACAACTGATTCACCAAGACCCTTGTTATTCAACGTGTCTGTATTTAATCTGGAATATGTCTGCAAAAGACCTAATATGAATAAAATGTATAATAATGAAAAATTAAAGTTTTTTGCTCTAGCTGCGATTTGAAAAACAGTCCATAAGAAAACCAAGGTACGTTTCCTTATGGACTAATGTTAGGTATTTTTAACAGTTAGGTATTAAGAAATAATCCTTTTAATTTTATTCCTCTTAATTTTCTTTTCTAACTGTCGTAGTGCTGGGAAATCCCTTCTAATAATGATTGGCATCGTTGTGAAGCTTGGCGATTATCCTTTTTAAAATAAAGGGCTGGAATTCCCAATGGCATCCCTCCAGACCAATAAAAATGTAATTTATAAAGGGGCATTCTCGTAGACTAG